GCTCTGACCTTTTCAGCACTAATGGAATCGTTCTGCTTCCCGTCGGCCTGTCTAATGATGGAGACCTTTTTATGGGATTAACTCGGATTAGAGGATGAGCAGGGATCCTCGTCGCCGCAGCCACATCCTGAAATCGAATCCCGAACCCATAACACTAATTACGAAAAAAAAAAACCACAGACCGCTTCTCGCATCTCGACGCCGTCAGAAAACACGAAAGCGCTCAACCTCACCTCGGGTATCGTTATCACAGAAGACGGGCGCAAAAGCGAAAAAAGACTGGAACGAGAGCGGGAAGAGGTAACGCAGGCTCCTTCCTTCACGGCGTCCAGAACTAGACTGACGCGGACGGCGACCGACTGGCAGGTCCCGACCGAGGCGACTCCCCTGCCATCTAGTGCAAATGCACCGCCGCGCCCAAGCCCTCCCGAGTTTGCTCCGTATTTTTCTGATTCTCTCTGGTTCCCTCACCGCGACTGTCGCGACTATTAATTTGTAATGCAAGGAAAACAACACGAGGTGAAGAGCGCGAGTCGGTCCATAAAACGCTGTAATGCATCGGCGGTTTTCGGCTCGAGTTTCTTCCTTCCGCCTTGCGGCCGTTCGAGGATGACTTCGAAGCTCGTGAAATGACTTTAGAAATTCATGCGCACCGAGGTGAGGAGGCGGAGAGAGGTCGTGGGGGATTCCTGAGGTCGTGACCTCTTTTGCCGACTGGGGTGGACTGGCCGACGCGGGGGAAACGAGAATCTCCGGGTGGAAATTTGTGATTTATAGCTTCGCCCTCTTTATCTCGCGTTGTTTTCTTTGCATTTTTTAATTCTGAAAACGTGCCGCTATCGTCGCGAAACGAATTTTCAGAATAATTATGGCAATCTTTCTCACAAAGCAGTTCGATGGAGGAACGGGAAGAGGACGGAAGACGAGAAAGTCAGAAACAGACATCAATAAACATTAATAGTCGCAATAGTCTCGCTACGAGGGCAACAGACACCAGTGTTAAAAAAAAAAAAAAAAAAACTGGATACAAACGCTCCCCACCGGAAAACCACTTGGAAGGGGATGATTGCATGTGGGAAAGTTCCCCCAGGACCACAATGGACACGGTCTCACGTCCGTCCGGGCCACTCCCACTCCGATTCGCGCTTTTCCCCTTCGTTCCCTCGCGTCTTCATGGAGGCTGGGAGGGGGCGGGGGCTTCCGGTGGGCGGCGAATTTTCCAACTGCAATTTTTGGTCGTTTCCTTTTCGGTGATACTCGGCGAAAGTGATGTCGATGCAACAATATGGCGTTTTTTTTTTTTAGTTCCCGGCAGTTTAGTTTTCAAATTCACGCTGAAAAGTTTCTCTCTGGCGAAGTTCTGTGTATCTAATTGTTCAGTTTCACGAATTGATTTTTTTTTTGTCCGAAATACCAAACTGTTCCCATCACAAAATTTAAATTCTGTGCACAACTCAGAGCTCCTTTCTTTCGTGGATTCCTGAAAAATTGTTATTTATCGCATTCCACCCACTTATGGGCGTGGCCGCGGGATGCGACGTCAGCTTTAATCTTCTCAGTAAGAAAGAGAAACGAAAAGCTCTCATCTTCATGGAGAAATGGAATGTCCACCTCGCTGTTCGCAAGGGGCCAGTGGCGTATTTTATGGGGGGCAAGGGGGCCGACCGCCCCCCCCCCCCCCCCCCCCCCCCCCCCCCCCCCCCCNCCCCCCCCCCCCCCCCCCCCCCCCCCCCCTGACTCTTGGGCCAAAATACGCCACTGGCAAAAAGGAATGCGGAAAGTAGTGAATTTCCTGGGGGAAATTTCCTTCAAACGAAATTTTTTAGTTCGCTATTGAATACTATTTGGAAAATATTCCCGCAGAATGAAGAGTTAGTGATCGATTTTGCATTCACTTTAATTTTGCAATTTATGGTTATGTAAATTTTTAAAGCCAGTTTTTTATTTTTTATTCTATCTCATCGACAAGATTTTGACCGAAAGGGAACGACGTTTGGAGCCGTTCGAGCCCGTCTCCAGTGGAGTTTGACGGACTTCGGGGATCCGAGATCTCACCGGTCGAGATCTCGGATCTCACCGGTCGAGATCTCACGGCTCATGCACGATCACACGGTCACAATCGCTCACACGCGCTCGCAATCTGAAGCGATTATGCCGTGGCATGGGCCCCGTGAGTTAACATCGCATGTCCCTTCCAAGCAGACAAGGTCATTGAGATGGCCAAGGGGGCAGGGAAAGGGGGGGGGGGGGGGGGGGGGGGGGGGGGGGGGGGGGGGGGGGGGGGGGGGGGGGGNGAGGCAGGGGGAGGGGGGCAGGGGCAGGGGGGGCAGAGGTAAATCTTGGTTTTGCCAAAGCGCAAAGGGACAAAGATGTATTTTCCTGGTCAAAATGTAAAAAAAATCGAGTTATCATCCAAGATTTTCATACTCTACCCACTAGTCACCTAATAATTAAACTCAATAAAGCTGCAATTCTATGAGCATATATGATTAATCGATTAGCAATGTAGATATGCAGCTAATCGAATCTCCTGTAAAGGAAAGGTCATGTGAAGGTGAGAGTGGTCTCATTAACTGTTACGGTAATTAACTGTATGCTTGCACAAGAATATCATGTTAATTGATCAATTAAAAAGTTAAAAAGTTTTTTCTCGAAGCTACTTAAGTGCTTGGATTGGACCACGCAGTCTCTCGGACCTCGACGACGCATCTGATCATTAATTGTATTTTCTCTTGTTGCAAATTAAAAATCAACCTTGAGTTCTTCATGTCAGCTGAAATTTTTGCCGCCCGCGAAGCGGATCTCTTATCATAAAATAAAGCAGGGGTGTCAAACTCAAATCGGTCGGCGGGCCACACTCACAATTTTTCGCTGAAATTTGTTAATTCACTCGGTTTTCACCCTTTCGACTTTGGAACTCGCCAAATATAAGTTTTTCCCATCGATGGCAGTTGTCAGCATACGTCCACAGACAGTCCCAGACGTCTCATAAAACCATCGCGCTTGCATTGACTCGCATGCAGCTGCAACGCCAGTTGCGTTGACAGCGACAGCAGCAGCAACGCCAGTTGCGTTGACAGCGACAGCAGCAGCTCGTCGTTACTCGACAGCAGACGTGCCCCCCCCCCCTTGGTGAGGAGAAGCTAGGAAAATTCTAGACCCCCAGTTGTCTCGTCAATTGTCCTGGCTACGCCACTGAGTTCGAGATCGCACGCCTGTCTTCGTACCCATTCCCCCGGGATCCACTACGAGGCACAGCGATGACCACACGCGGGGGGGCCACCACCCACTTCAACGATAGCTCCACTCCCGCTTCACTCCCAACACTTCCCCCCACCCCCCCCCCCCCCCCCTCCCCCCCTCCCCCTTCCCCATATTTCATTGCATGTCGAGCGGGACTCACTTCCTCTCTTTACATTATGAGCTAGCCTGATATGAAATGGGATGTGGGGAGTCAAAGGATCAGCTTTCCCCGTTGGCTTGGTCGATGACTTATCCGCTGAATCAGCCTTTTGACCTTGTGAAAGTCGGTCGGTCGGGGGTTTTCCAGCCTCTGGGGGTGGTCGTGCCGATTCCTCGAAACGCGACTCGTTCTCGATTCGGTGTCGACTCGTGGACGCGAAACCAGTCGGAAAATGCGGTCTGCCTCGTTGTCCTCGAGGACCAGGAAGAAAGTATTCGCCCGGAGCAGGCACTTCGGCCGCGATTATTGATAGGGGGAGAGGCTCTCGTTTCGACCTTCCCCGAGGGAACGACGTCAAGGTCTGGGCGGGGAGGGAGAGGGGGGTCGGTCAGAGAGGAGAGGGAGGGGGGTTTCGTTTGTTTTCTCGGCTACCCGCTCTTTCCTCTTCTTTTAAGAAAACACGGCCGATAAACATCCTGGGAGATGAACCGTCCGTCTTTCTTGGGGTGAGTCACCCTCGAGAACGGCACAAACAGGGTGTTGAGACGGATGGGAGGCTCCGGATGGATGGGAGGCTCCGGATAGATGGGAGGCTCCGGATAGATGGGAGGCTCCGGATAGATGGGAGGCTCCGAGGGATCGCGAGGCGAGGCGAAATTCTCAAGGCATTTTTCGGCCCCTTTCACGCCCGGGTGGGCGTGACATCGACGTAGGAAGGCGAAATTTTCTCGATATTTCGCGGCTGCACGTGCCGCGAGGGAATTCGATGTCGGTGGAACCGGCTCCAGCGTCGCCTTATCTGGACGAGGCGGCCCTGAAATCCGCATCTGTATTCGAGATGGCGGCTCGTAAACCACGAGAGACGGAGCCGCGAAGTCCGCGAGGCGCAGCGCGATGGCGGGGATGAAAAAGCACGGTCGCGTAGAGGACCCCGTTTAAAACGCGGCGATTTAATATGGCCTCCCTGCCGATAACCCAGAACCGATAATCACGCCTCCGCGGTGGCGCCCTAGATGCAAATTTCGCCCGTTTCGTCATGCGCCCCGCCGCGTGTTGTGCCCCTCGTGGCATTCGAGCCGAACATTTTACGGCCACCTTGCGTATCGCAATCGGCCCAAAGCCAACCGGCGAGAGGAAAAGCCGGCTTCCCTTGCCATTGTACGGAGAGAAAGAACTATTTCATTCTGCCCCCAGTCGACGAGAGAGCGAGGGCGGTCGTTGCATGCGCCCCGAGGCGACTTCTGAGTCCGGTGGAGGGAGGGAGGAGGGAGGAGGGAGGGCGAGAACTCTAGGGACTGCGGTGAAAGTCGGCGGAAAGATTCCCGGCCTGCACGCACGGACGGCGTGCACGGTGCATTCATTCACGTCGGGAGACGTGTCCGTACATGATAATGGAGTGGACGTTGGCGGGGTTCATTCGCATCACGTGAGACGGACAGGACAATGAGATCCCAGGAGCCTTCTTTCTTGCTTCGTGCCCGCGGGGGGTTATGTGGGAGGCTGGCGAGGGCTGTTGCCCACGACCGGGGCTGTTGCCAGCGCCGAACCTGTTCCGTGGGTCTCGGGACGAAGCAGATAATATTTATTTATCAATCTAATGAGCGAGACACCCAGACGCGTCCCGATTTTCACGGTCACGTTCGTGGCGGAGGGACGCGTCGGGTGCGTGCGCAGACGGGCCCCGTTCCACGAAACCCCCTGCGAGTCCCCTGTGAGTCCCCTGCGACGCACCCGTGCGTCGAATGCTGAGATTGCAAAAAAAGGAAACCCTGAGGGAGGGGAAAATCCGTTGCAAATGCTGTGCGATTCCCCCACGGGGGTATGGAGGTTCATTCCATGTCTGGTTTTTTTTTCTTCTAAAATACCTTTTTTTCCCACGGACTGGAAGGGGAAAACCGGTATTGTCAATCAACTTCTGCACCTTTTTTTTTTTTTTTACTCCCCCCCACCCCCCCCCCCCCCCCCCACGCACGCACACACACACACACGCACTTCTCTACGAAACTCACGTTTGGCATAGGCTAAACTCCTATTCACCCCAATTCCTACCTTTACTCTTTAACCCTTTCGTGCATGAATTTTTAAAACAAAACAAAAATATGCCTTTTTGGTTTAACGTTTAAGGAGGTACTCTGCTGTAGCAGTCGAATGTTCCACCGCTAGGAAGCAACACTGAACAGATTGTGTGCCCTTGATTTGACTGCACGCACCAAAAGTTTCGAGGCACGTATGCCATAGCTGAAATCCATCATCGTCAAAAATGTTGCTGTCCACTACAGTGGACACCATGCACCAAAGGGTTAAAAAGAAAAAAACGCAATTCTCTACTTACTGGGCCAATTAGGTTTTTAAAGAGGAATCCGTGGTCTTTCGAGACATCTCATTGAGGACGTGTAACGTTAGGCCAATCGCACGCCTATTCACACTTTCACGAATCATTTCAAAGAGGACACGTAACGTTAGACCGATTTGAGCCTCTTTCGCGTTTCGTTATCTTTTTCAGGGGGGACGTGGAACATTAGGCCTATCTGGAGTTCCTCGAACCATCTCGATTAGGTCTGAGGAGGAAGTGAGTGCCTCCCGGAAGCTTATTTCGAAATGATACAATGACACAGAAGAGCCCTCGTCTGATTGGCCGCAGGAGAATGACGTCACAAAATAGAGTCCTGACTTGAAGGAAGCAAACATGGCGTGGGGATGTCAAAAGAACTGGAGGTAGCGCACAATAGAATGTGATTGGTATCATGGTGGCTCTTCACCATTCGCTACGATGGGATTTTCATCATTTCCTTTCCCAGTTTTCATGCTGTCGTGAGCATGATGGAAGGCAGTCATGGTACTGGAGGCCTAATAATTCAGGGGGGTGTTTCTTAAGCGTGACAACGTTAGGTCGGAACTCTTTCTTCTATGGGTGCGAGTCCCCAATTTTTTTTTTGCGGTAAGTTCCAGGCCTGCCTATGCTGAGATTGCTGGGCCTACGAAGGCGATAACGTTACGCCGCCCTTCCATCATCACAGTCGACTTATTTTACAACAGATCTAAGGCATAAAGTCAAACGAACTTCGAGTGAACTTTCAAAGACAAACAGGCTAACGGAGACGAAGGGCGACCACGAGGTGCATGGTAGAGGTGTTGGTGGGTCATAGTAGGGCATGCTCCCTTATTCAGTATGCCTGCTCCAATGACCCGCGGTACCTGCTCCGTTATTCCGCCAATGCGCACCACAGGCCCGCTCTCAACTCTATGAATCACTTCGCACATGAAACTCCGGTATTTTGCTAAGACCTATCCCCAATCGCCCTTTACTGCCATTAGCCTAAACTGAAGTTTTGTATCCGAATGCATGATGTAAGGAAGTCTTGGAACGACTCAATAAAGCCTATTGGTTCNTGCACCTTTTTTTTTTTTTTTCTCCCCCCCCCCCCCCTCCCTTCCCCCAAGCGAGTCTCGAATGGAAATATCGATGGGATATCCCCCGCTTTTATCTCCGCTTGAAGGGCGAGGAAGGTCGATGCTCGCCGAGCGTGTAAAAGGTTGCTTCGTGCCAGTCATGCTATCGCTCATTCCATTGCTCACCCTATTGCTCATACGAGTTTTTTTTTTCCTTTTAGAGATGAAGTGGCTGATGGTGCTGTTGTTGGGGGTGGTGGCGTTGATGGCGGTGCAGGCTGCACCCGACAGTGACCCCAGCCCGGAGGAGCCTGCTGCCACGCCGGAGGCGAATAACGAGGCGAATGAGGCTCCGGAGACCAGCCCCGAAGGTGCACATCCTGAGGATGGTGAGGAAGGATGCATTTTTAATGGGGGGCAAAATGTCTTTTTTTTTTTTAGGGGAGGTAATATAAAATTTAAGGGGAGGAGCAAACACATTTTTAGGGGAGGCAGTATAACGAGCAAAGGGGAGGAATGGGAATTAAAGGGGGGACGAGAATGAGGGATGAAAAATTAAGGGGAGGCAAAATAAAAAAGTGAATGAAGAATAGGGAGGCAAAGTAAAAATGGCGTCCTATTAAGCTCTCATTTCTCACCTTCCTTGACTTTCGGCTTGGTCGATCCGCCGTTTCTATCGCCCGTCACAATCGTCACGGATGGATTCCGCGGTTGCCCCGCTGGTCCCTAAATGAATAAAAGGCGATTAGATGAAAAGATTGGGATTGAGGTCAGACGGAGATGTAGGGGTTTCGTAAGGGATATGGGACTCGATTTCCGAGCGGAAGATGGGGACCTTGCGAAAGGGAAAGGAGGAAGGGGGTTTCGACATGCGGTCGACCGGGGCGGTCGGTCGGGGAGTCTGTGTCGCCGAGGGTTGGGAGGGGAGATGGTTTCTTTCGTGTCGGATGAGTCAGCATTCACGGGCGGCTTGGTGGAATGCAAAGTTAGACATCTGTTTTCGTCGGCGTCATTTCTGCGAAGTTCCCGGATCTCGGGGGTGTCGTCGTGAGTCGACGGGGGGATGGTCGTGAGTCGTCCGAGGGGATGAGGCGGCGCAAACGGGCCGAAGGGTCACCTTCCCGTGGAGCCATAGAGCGAGGGAAAATGTATCTCTCGTGTTTACCCGCCGAGATTGGTTCTGCGGGCAGTCCGCCAATAACAAGTCAGCGAAAGGAAAACCTGTGGGGAAAAATGGATCGTGAAGGGTGCGAAACCAGTCGGTTGACGTGAGAAAACACGCGCTCCGTGCAAGTGATGTTAGAAGAAAAAAAGTTGGAGAGATTGGAAATGACAAAGAGATCGGTTTCCTTTGTCCTCCGTGCATGAAGAACGCTTTTGTGTTGCAGGGCACGATCACGATCACCAGAAGAGCGGGGCCGCGATGCCTCCGGTCCTCCCGCTCGCCCTCGCCCTCGCCGCCGTGTCGTGGAGGATGCTGTGAGGCGGGGGGATGCCGTGAGGCGGGAGGATGCCGTGAGGCGGGAGGGGCGGTGGGAGGAGGTCGGGCGCGAGTGACCGAGACGACATGACTTCACGTTTTCCTTTAAACATTTTTCTTCGTCCGTTGATTAAAATCGAGACAAAAATTCTTTTTCTGTACGTTAAGAGTGCAATAAAAGACTTGTGGACGTCGTCCGTGTTTTTCTCGCATGGGGATTACTCGGGAATAATACGCGCTATATTATAATCCTCGATATCGCGATGATCCTCACGATTTTCCCGTGCTTTCGACGATTGCCTTTTTTGTGTTGGTGCTAAAAAATGCATGCGTGATAAGTGCATCCCGTGGGAGCCCCCCCCTCTTCATTTCCTGCGGAAACTTTCATCAAGAATTTTCTCACAATGTTTCACGTCAAGTTTCGTCTAAAGCAAAACTGAACTAAGACGTCCAGATCATTTAACTTATTTTTATTTTATTTAAATTCCAATTGCATACATATATATATATACATACATTTTCCCCTTTGACTGCTTTTTATCCTGTCATGACAGAATACATAATCATCGAAGCCTCCAGACATAAACAAATCATTGTGAAGTTTACAAATATTCACTAATTTGACATCCACTTTTTTTTTAAGTTCGTTAAAACTGAAACGAGCGCAAAATCTAAACCTTCACATCCTCTAAATTTGCATATTCGTCTAAAAAACGATTTAAATCATTGACAAACGGCCGATAAAAGTGATTACGTCATCGCAGAGGGATCATCTCCCTGCGATGATCGCGGATCTCAAGAATCAATCATGCTGCTAATCCATTCAATAATTCCATCCATAATTCATGGGCTGTTCATTCGATCAAGCGAATTTTAATCGGCCCTCGGATTCCTCTTCTCCCGGCGAACGAAATCAAGGGTGAAACGACAAGAACCCCGGGGATTCCCATTTTCCCGCTCCATTTATTTAAATTTAATTATTTGTTGTATATTTCAGGTTTTTCACCCTTCATAGAAACTTATTTTTGGCTCAATCTGCTCATTAATTTATTGACGAAGCCTTTGAGCAGATCCAGCCATCGTCGACCCAGTTTTAACCATGAAAACCAATTAGTTGCGGAGCTCATCTGCCAAGAAAATAAATATTGATATTAAAGATCGATTGACATGTTGGCTGATGAGCATGTTTTATGAAGACCGGGCAGGAAATGATTCGGTGCTCAAAGGAAAAACGTGGAGATGGTCAGATTGCTTTATGTTTCGAGTGTGCCAAGTGGGCGATGGAGGATTCACATTTTTTTTTGTTGTCGTGTCATTGCCAAAGGTCAAAGAAAGACGGGGATTTCATGAATGCTAAACAATGTGCTAGGTAATTTTTAATCCGAGTTATGAAAAATGTCGATGACATGCTTTCGCACAAGACAACGACGACGCCAGTCGCGGACTGCGGCACGCAGAGTCGCTCGAGGAATCACCGTCCATGCTTCAGCGACTCCAATCCGGATATGATGGAGGTCGATCGGTCCGCTTGGGGAAGTCCGGCACGTTGTGCTCCAATCGATGCCGAGTCCCTTGGGGGGACTGGGATGGGGCAAAGTCTTGGTGGAAGCTGTTGGTCGTTGAAGGGTTTTCGACCGCAGTGCATTACCACAGGCTCCAAAATCGGCTCGCGGCACCGATGTCTGTCCACTTTGGCTCCTTCCGGCACAAAAATTGGGTCCGTGCGGCTATTTGCTGAAACCCCAGGCTGTAAAACATCGCTACAGCCACCGCAGAACGATTCTCGGCTCAGATGGCATCTCCGCCAAGCCGATGGTTAGCAGGCGATTGTTCTGGGCATCGACGGCCTGCTGTGTCGTAAAGATCTCATCTGAGAAGAGGATGCGCTCCACATCATCTGTGAACAGATGATGTGGAGCCGTTCCAACAGCCTTCTGCTTCGATCGAGTCTCTTGCGTCGGATAGCTGCTATCAGTCTCTCTTTATAGGGACGCATGCAAAGGTTCTTATCGGCACCCTCATTGATTCCCTGCTGATCTTCATCTCAGATTTCAACATTGACCGCTTTCGATTCCGCCTCACCCGACTTTTCACTCTTTTCCTTATGGCGTCCGTCGGCAAAGCGCTCGGCAGTCCGACTAACAAACCTACGAGAACTCTCGTTCCCAGCATTGTTAGCTTCGGAGTATATACAAAGCCACAACTGCACTTCGTCGGTCCGCCAAAGTGAATGCCATAGCAAAACCGGGCCAATGATGACTGCTAGGACCCTCAACACTCGAAATAATAATATACGTTAGAATAAGTAGTGCTCACTTGAGATTACTCACTTTTGTAAGTAGGGACAGAACTTATTTGTCATCCTGTATTTTTATCTCCAGTTTATATTAGCAATTTATGAGTTATTTCCGTTTTCCGGGCAAGACATGATTATATCACTTGAGGGCTGTAAAAAGACTAAACAATGAACCTGCTCTATATAAAACCCCTTCTATCATGACGTATCTCACGGAGGGAAAAAAAAAAAACAGGATGGGATTGTAGTCAAGTGGCTTCTGAAAAAAGAAGGGAGAAACTGAATTGATGAGCCTTCAGGGAGGAATGCCTCCATGGAGGTGGACAAGGAGAACCTTGAACTTTTTTGCAATCATGAAAAGCAAATAAATAACGGAAACAGTTTTACTAGAGCGTAAAATGTCCCAATTTATTTCATAATAGATGGAGGCCACTGAACTCATGGACGCCCTCTCAACATTACAATCACACATTTTTATATCATCTTCAAAAGATAGACGCATGCGGAGCAGGTAATAGTACATCTTCCGAGAGACTGACTGGATGACACAGGTACCGATCCCGGTTCTGGTACCCTGATGCTCCATTTCACAGCTTTGCGGTGAGTTCGGGGATCGCCTTGAAGAGGTCTGCGACGAGGCCAAAGTCGGCCACTTGGAAGATGGGTGCCTCTGGGTCCTTGTTGATTGCAACGATCGTCTTCGAGTCTTTCATCCCTGCCAGGTGCTGAATTGCTCCTGAGATCCCCACAGCGATGTAAAGTTCCTGCATGTGTCATTAAAAGGCTCTCATGCAATAAAAGTCTATTCATTCAAGTATTTCAAACTCTGTTTCTCCTAGGCAAACTGTCTGAGCAAGATGAGGCCTGCTTATAAAACTTTGTAGGAACACAGTCTACCTCAATTGTATTGATATATAGGGTCCAGTGTAAGCAGTGTGTCAATGCTACATTTTCATGCCAAGGCCAATGATGGCTTGCTGGTCAGCATGGAGGCTAGGGAGCTGGCTACAAATGCCACTGGGGCCAGCAATCAAGTATTTTGCAATAGAACAGGAGAAATACGGTTTGCTTTGCCTTGTAATGTGACTCATGCCTTTTAGGGTGTTACCAGAGCATTCAAGGAAGACAGTAATTATTTGATGGCAAGGAAAGGAGGAAAGGAAATGAAGGATACATTTAAAAAATTCAGTCAGAATTGCCTGGGAACACAATACTAAAAGCAAGGATCTTTGAGCATACAAATCATTTGTAAGCATAAATTATCAGTGAATAGACATCACTCAATATTTTGCAATGCAGAGAAGGTCCCTTTCATTGAAGTATTCAAAAATGGACCGGCATCCTTCAGGATATCACTCTCACATCTGACTTTCTCCTCGTGTGACAGTGAATCCGAGTTCTGAGTGATCTAGGAATGTTCTATTAAAAGTCTTGTTTGAATTCCAATGCAACAGAGCGATTCAAACTTTCATGTCTCATACCCTGTATATGCATGATGAAAAAAGTATGGGGAGAAAGTTAGAAATGTTTTGCATGTTTCAAAGGTGTTGTTTTTTCTTGCTATTAAGGACATGACCTACATAGTACTTACTCTGTTTTGAACTGAAAGGGTTCCACTTAGCAGTCTTTTTTTTGCTAGAATTTATGCCATCCTACAATACATTGCCACCATAACATGAAAACTTTTGAGTACTTAATGGATAAGTCAATGCTCATTTCTTTTATTCATATCAATGTTTTCACACACCACAGGGAGTAATTTCCTTACTTTATTTGGCATTGCCAGAACTGGAACACAAAGCAAGAGGCACAAGACAGTACACTGCCATAGTGACACATGACCATTGGTGCCTTACTTATCAAAATAGGGAGACTTGTTTTTTTGCTATATGGAACAAATGAGATTCTCAATCACAAGTACTTTTCTGCCCTTTCTGTGTTAGTCCAGTCCTTAAGATACCTAAAGAAAAGTGAAGTACCCAAAGGAAGCCCATTAACAGAGATATAAAAAGGGCAGGGGGAAATGATTTTGCTTCTCCCAAGGAGAGTAAGAAAAATTTTCTATTGAAGAGGGAGAAAAGGAAGGCTCACACAAAGGAATGGAACGGGACTAGAAGTTATCAGATGCTTGTCCTTCAGAAACAGATAGAAAGTAAAATCCAAGATGAGGCCAAAGCAGTGAGACTGGGCTGAAATGTCCCATGAACAATTTGAAAAAAAAAAAAAAAAGTATTTGGCATAAAATGAAGAATGATAGGGTTATGTCATTTATATGAGGACAATGCTCCCTGCTCAACGATGAAATAATTATGTAGGAGTATGAAAATCTGTTTTCGATTTAGGGTTTTCTTTCTTCATTCTTCCCACCCCCATAATACCATAGCAAAACTCGGTGCTTTTAAAATTAAGGTCTCTTCTATAAACTCCAGCCAGATAGTACTTTCAAGTCTGAAAGGGTAGTTGCCTTATCAGAAGACAACAGCATAATGCCAATGCCATGAAACTAGGCCTAAGCCTAAGCCAGACATGACATTCAATTTAATTGGCATCTATAACATGAGCCCAGGCCTAAGGGAGTGTGGAAAAGAAAAGAGGTGCTGGAAATCCCTGCAAGATTTGGGAAAGGAAGTAAAATCATGTCAGAGGAGAATGAACTTGTCAATTATTTCCTCCCTAATATCACAGGGCATGGAGGAATCATTCTTCTCCCTCCCAATGGTGAATAAGGAAGATCGCATCATTTCCAGGATTCTGTCTTCCATAGTGGGTGTATTGAAATGCAGCTTGTCATTTAATTCCTGCAACATATAGTTTAGTCACCCAAAGTCCTATCCTCCTTACTGCTGTGGAATTCCAAGAGTCAGACTTCTGATTCATCCTGAATTTCTTTGGGAAACAGGAAAGGACATAAAAGGTAATAAGTTCTTGGCATGAATTTTTCCAGCTCTGGAAAATATATTGCACCCAACTATTCAAACTATTATGCCTTTGAAAACGAGGCACTTTGTTTGGTGAGGAAATGTGTAATAAGGAACTGACACAGACAGTGATAGAGACAGGCATGAGAATGCCTACAGAACGCAGGGACAGCTAGAGGAGACAACTTGTGACTCACGGGAGCGACAATCTTGCCGGTCTGGCCAACTTGCATGTCATTGGGAACAAAGCCAGCATCAACAGCTGCTCGAGATGCTCCCACGGCAGCACCCAACTTCTCCGCAAGATCGTACAGCAACTTGAAGTTCTCACCATTTTTCATCCCCCTGCCTGCAAAAAGGAAAATTGCAATCAACTTACTCCCAAAGGGTCATATGTAATGATATTCAGCTCTGACAAACTATCAAACTATACTTCAGTTTGATCCCCAATTGGCAAAGAGTACATCAAGAAACCTTGGGAATTGTTTCAGATACAATTCCTACCTGATCTACATCAACAACATGTATTGTAAAAGGAATGAAGGATGTCACCTTTTAAAGAGACTGGGTTTGTAACTCCCTCAACATTACCTTCACTTTATTTTGGCCAGTGTTCCCTTTCTTCATCAGATTTAAAAGTACTTAATAAAATCACAAGGAACTCTTTAAAGATACAATAAACTTCTCTGCATTTGCAATGCAGAGACCATAATAAATAAGTAAAATAAAGACAACATTAAGGTGAGTCAAAGAGCCACAAGCCTACCAGATCAATTTTTCCATAAGGAGTACCCCTGCAACTGCATTTCTCACCACAGGACTGGTGTCCCCGCAGTACAAAGTAACATCTTGTCCCACAATGCAGTAACAAGTTGTAAATATTTGGAAATCTAAGTGAGTTGAGCTGACATGGGGAGGCATTTAAGACCTCATACTTTTCATTGCAGACTGGTACTGTATCCTGCAGGAGCAGCACCCTCTCATTCTTTTCCCATGTTTTCTTCATAACATTTCACAATTCTGAAAAAGTTTGGCAAAGTAAGTTTTTCCAACAAAATGCTCTTGGGTTCCTCAGCAATTCAGATGAGCACACCTCAAGATGAAGATATACTTCTAACTTATGGCACAGTGGAAGAGAATCCTAATGCTGAAATATTGTTGCAATTTGCTATAACTCAGTTTCACAGTGGCTAAACATTGTCTCATTCTGCATCATCAGTCAAGCCACAGAGGGGTTTCAGCCAACCTCACAGTAAATCCTCTCTTTCCTCCCTTGACATTAAGGAAACCTGGCAGACAGGTTTTTCTAGTCAGCAAGGATCCTTCTCCCATCAATATTGCTACGCAAGCCTGTTCTTACAATCTGGTTGATCAACTGACTTTTTTTTATTCAGTGACTGCCTCAGCATTCACAGGAAGTCCACAATTCATATCATTGAGGCTCCTTCGCTTATGTTTGCACTCTCCAACCCACTCCTTCACTGTAGCATCCAGTTCATTCCCAAATGCTCACCTCTAATGATTTCTTAAAGGGTCAAGCCTTTCTTAATTCTAAGGTGCAGGAGTGAAGGAAACTGATAATTGTTATGTGTTACTGTTACCTGTTAACTGATACTTACTATTTTGCTAATCATGCTGTAACATTCTTTCCCTGAAAAGACCTTAGGTCTACACTCATTTGAACATAAGTATATTGACTTATAACTTTTTCATTGATCTCCAAGGGTAAATCATAGATATTAACAAAAAAAAACTTTCCTTCTTGAAATTGCATTAGACAATTTCTACTTCCTTTCCCATTTTTCAAGTAAAAAAAAAGGATAAGTACCCAACAACTTAGCTCTTTCCTCAAAAGCTACTTGGTCCTGGAGTGGAAGCAGTGAAAAAAAAAGTTCCCAATTGCTTTTCCAGTTCTATGAGATGAGTATGCAAGACTGCAGAAAATCTGGTGAATTTGGGCAGTCACAACCAAAGGACCAAACTACAGTATGAGCCATTTCAAAAGTAATAGTCTTGAAATTTGAAAAAGTCACAGGATCACCACTCAACCACAGGCTGAGGACACTTGACACTTCCTTCCCTTGTCTCTTAATAATAGATGCTCGAGTCTGAAGTAGGTACACTGCATTTCCAAAAGAAGAAGGGATTCTTTTTGGTAGAAGATGGGTTGGACCACCTACGTCAAGAGTAGCACCACTGTTTAAAATATTTAATCCAATTGCACAAGATATTGCTAAGCCATAAGTGGGAACAGAACAGACCTCCACTGATGACTATCTTCGCACTGGTAAGTTCTGGTCGATCTGACTTGCTGAGCTCCTGTCCGACAAACTGGGATAGATTCTGAGATGAATCTGCAGATGGGACATTTTCCCTAGCTGCGTTTCCACCATCGAGGGCAGCTGCCTCAAAGTTGGTTCCACGGACCGTCAGGACCTTCACTGCATCGCGGCTCTTGAGTGTCAGCAGTGCATTTCCTGTAAGCAAAATGAGCCCATGAGAAAGAACAGAATGAAGCCTGTGAAGAGGAAAAGTTTAACGAGTAAATGCTAGTCCACACCAATCAACACAGTAAGGGCAGTTGGGACACTGCTTTTGATGCAGCTCCACCTGTAGGCTACACCCTACCACAAAAACCTATCCAACACAAAGGCCCAACCACTGGAGTCGACGGTTTACCGGCATAGATGGGCCGAACAAAGGTGTTTGAGGACTTGATGGCAATAACATCAGAGATGGGACTGACATCAAGCTTGGCTGCAATGCGGGGTAGGAGAGCCTTCCCGAATGCAGTCGCCCCAGCCAAAATATGTGTGAAGTTGAACTGCTTCTGGGTTGCCAGTACAAGAGGAGTGAGGGCTTCAGGCAGGAACCCATGGAATGCTTCATTCTCTGCCACCAAGATCTTCTTGATTCCTGGTACTTTGCTCAGTGCCTCCACAACCTGCAAGTATTCCAATATCAGATTGTACAATTTCCTTGACATTGTGAGAAATAGTTCAAATATGATCTAAGATTTTCCAGTTAACAGTTTCCTACTAACAGGGGCCACTTTGGTGCCAGCCACAAGGCAGGCAACATCGCCTCCGATCTTGTTGGCAGCAGTCACAGCATTGAGGGTAACAGGGAACAACTTCTCATTTGTATGCTCTGCTATCACCAGAGTGCTTTCCAGGCGTCGGAACAGGATCTGCACCTGGAAAGAAGAACCCTGACTTTATAGTGGTTACATGAACCTTAAGAAGTACTTGTTTGCCATAAAAGCTAACCTACTGACAAGGGCATAAATAGGGGTGGATGCTTGCCCAGGAGTGCAACCCAGAAAGAAGAGAGAAAAGCAAGGAAAAAATTCATATACAAAGAATAAGCAAATGGGAACATGTTGACTGAATGCTTTTGGGAAAGGCAGCCTTAGCTCACCCTTGTCATGACTTTGCTCCTATTATCCCTCTTGCATGACATGGTCCTACTAAGTCCTCCCCACCCCTCTACATGCTCAAGAAACATTGTGGCTAACCCATCAGAATCATTAGAATATCCAATGGTGTCTTTGCTCATTGAAAACTTATCATTGCAGATTTTACCACAACACAAGTGCCCCATCAATGACTCAGACAGTATAACAATGGTCTCAAATCAGTAATAGTGACAAGCCTTCATTTTATTAAAGGGCTGATTTTGCATCAATAAAAGGATGCCAGCAAGTGGTAGGGGAGTCGGGATGCATACTCGCATAGAGTTTGGTGGTACAGGAGGGTAGGTGGTGGGACACAAGCATGATGCCCTATCCAAGGGCGTCAAGATTCACATGGTAATTACGGCCTTGGGTAACGCGGCTTATCGTTTGGCCCACATAAGTTACCCTCTGTCTTTCCTACGACACTTAAAACCCGGTTGCAACTTCCACGACGATAAAAATTTTAGGCAGCATTAAACTTTTAGGCCCGGCAAAGTCAACAGCCATAGGCATAACAACTTCGTCGGTTAGGTTCTTGGCCTAAGTCCTTAACCGACATGACTTCCAGAGTGAATAAGAGTTCAGCTGGATAATTTTTATCGACAGAATTTCTCTTTCAACTCACCGAATACGACGACGAAGGAAACTTCCTCAAGACGTTACGGAACATCTCAGCGAATCATTTAGCAAAGGGGAAAAACTCTTCGACCGCAGACCAAGAGATCCACGAGGCAACCTGAGACCAGTGCGAGCCCCTCGTCGACGTACAATTCCGCTCTCTCGCTTTCGGTTATGAGAGCGCTACCTCTAATTTTAAACGATAGATGTCAGCATTCGCCCAGCTCTGTTAGAACCCTCAGTTGAATATGAACCTCTCAGACGTACTCGTCACCTAACAATCAGATAAGTTTCACATTCATCAACTCCCACTCGAACTGCAGTTGCTCAGCGTTCGGTACGTTATTTTCAATTATTAAAGCTGGATCGTGCGGTAAGAAATCTAAGAAGTTCTCATAGTGTCGATGACATCGACTATAGGCCTACTACAGAATTGGATAATATTTCAGGCCACACTTGAGCCTATAAGCTCGTGGGCTATCGGTGCACCTGGTCCCGAACGCTCATCTCGTTCCAGCCGTTATTCCAAGGCGCGAAAATTCATAATCGCCTGGGCCTGAATGCGAAAACCCCGAGGCTTATCATCTCGGAACATTGAAGCGCCAGGAAAACCGTATGATTTCCGGGGTATTGCAGCTCTTTTGCGACGATATGGCGTCGATAAGAACGGCTTTGCGTGCCCGGAATGATCAGGGAAGACGTAGAACCGAGTGAAGGACACCGCGTGTAAGCATTCGTAAGAGTTTCCATGCCGAAAGAATGCATCCGCGTTCCCACATTTCATTCCAGCCCGATTAGCAGTCGCTTGGCCGGGAATTTATTGCTTGGTCATTCCGAGTGGCGCAGGCGCGTCGGAATCGACTACAAGGGAGACCTTGTAGTCGATTCAAGGGGGGAGCGGATGCCACGGATGGCGTGGATGTCACGGATGACATAGACGACTTGGATGCCCCTCTCAAATTGCATATATTGCTCCCTTGTTTTGGATTGTATGGTGCGCTCCTTTTTTCGCTCAGCTGACGCTTGCCCATGTGAAAAAATCATTTCGCGACTCTCTCCATTAACAGGAAGCCTCACGTCCCTTCCCTTCCCCTCCGGTATGCAAATCGCTCCCGACTGAATTTTATTTTTTCAGCCAGGTATCTATCGGAACTTGGCAACTCGGCAACATCGGCCGGCGAGAAATCGTCGATCCCGGCGATTCTCGACGGAAGGGGAAGACCCATCGGTAAGCAATCCGAGGGACCCATAGATAGACTCGAGAAGAAAGAAAAAGATGAAGGAAGAGAGGAGCTAATTGGGTGTTGGGGAAAGGAAGATGCAGTCAGACACAGCTGTGGCTTTTGGCTTCTCCGTGCCTGGAATCACGACAGGCGCGATCGTGATGGCCTTATGACAGCCTGATTTCCGCTTCGCTGCCTTCTTCAGAACCCGGAGTCTGCAGGCCCCGCTGTCCTCAGTCCCCGCTGTCTTCGGATTCCGGCTTCATTTAATGGATCGAGTCGCATTCGATCGCGGGTGAGTCGATCCGAATGGGGGTTGCATGTGAGGGCAAGGGGGCAGAGGGGGCTTGGGAGAGGGGTGTTGATACGCAATCCATCATAGACCCGATTTTTTTTTTTTTTTTTTACATGAAGGTTTTAGACAGAGGGAGGATGAGACGCGAACATTCTTCTCTTTCCTCTCTCCAGACGTAATGGAACCTTGATTGATCGACACGGATTACTTTGTCTCCTTTTTCCTTCTTTCTCCCTTTTCTCTCTCGGATTGGAAAAACAGCCGGACCTGTAGACGGCACCTGAGCGAGGGGGGGAAAGGGGGGCGACACGAAGTTGCTGGGACGACCTCAAAACTACGTTCGATAGTGAGGTGACGTCGTGTGCGGGTTGGTAAATGGTAAATTATGGACTGCATTTATAATACATTAAAAAAAAAAACCTGTTTCAGTACATTTTATGTACTTTGGATGTAAATAGAGGTATTTGCATTTCACATTTGAATAGCATCTCGGGGAAGACCTTTCGATCCTAAATCAATTCTTAATACATTCATCGCTCGGTAACGCGCGTCAACAGTGGCAAAAATGCAAAATCATCTCCGGTATTTCCCCCGAGACGGAGGAAAGAGAAATCCCATCCCCCTTTCACTCTTTCATCCTTTCACCCTTTCGCCCCCATGCATTTCTTATAGCCACTCGATGCGAGGATCCCCGTTCGTGACAGCCGACAGATGAATTCCCTCGGCGTTGCTCATTCTTGGGAAAGGTGAGTGCTTCCGAGCTTTTCAACTCTGCGAATTTGTTTCGAACGCTTCAAATGTGACATTCGAAACCAATTCCTCGATCCCCATGTGGTCTACTTTAAGGCTTGGATTTCGTGTTTTTCAATAAATTTGAAAATGCGGATTTCGTTTTGGAAATTCTCTTACACTTCCGATTTTTTTCCATATTTCTAATGCATTTTCTCAGGTTTTTGCATTTCGCATCTTAGTACATGTATTTTGTCCAACCACGGAAACCGCTGGATTGCTAATTACTGCAACTTCTCCGCTCTGCAGTGCTGCCATCCCCCGGGAGAATGCCATGACTCGTCGTTCCCGTCTTTCTTCCGGAAGCCAGAGCATTTGCATGAACCATTAAGCGCTAAAAGACCCGAACACGTGTTTCGCATTTTTTAGTGTTACTTCCGTGCGGTAGACTCCTCAACTCTGACGATGTTGCGTAGAAAATTAATCGTTTGAATTTTTTTTTACTGCATTTTTTTTGCAAGGGAAGATTCGCCGGCATCAGCTGGATTCGACCTCCGACTGTCTCAAATGGAAAGCAGCTCGATTTAAAATGCATCACGTGCATTCAGACGAGGGGGGGGGGGAGGGGAAGGGACAAGGGGGAAGGGGAAGGGACAAGGGGGGAAGGGGAAGGGACAAGGGGGGGAAGGTGTCACTGGGTGGTGAAGAACTCATGAAATATTAACTCAGTCACTTACCCGCATTTCCCTCGGGGTTTCGGCTCCACTGCATTGCACTGCACTCAGAGAACACCATTCATCATCTGCATCCTCTTCTGTGCGACGACCCATTTCCAGCTTTTTTTTGTCTTATCTCGAATTTGTGAAAGGCACGTGAGGTCGAGACGATCACTCGTTTTGCTCGAGTTCGGGCAATGCAGCCGTTGATTTTCGAAAGAGTGAATGCGACATTCGGTTTCGATTGCAGATTAATTAATTGGCGGGCGTACTGGTACTAGAAAGTACGGCGTCTGAGCCCAAAAGCCAGATTGCCAATTGGTCGCTTTTTTGAAGGAATTCTCTTTACCCATCCAGACCAACCGGTGAAATCCCTTCGAATGCTGCCACCACGAAAGCTCGCCGTGCCTTGCAGTCATCTGACTACATGGCAGACGGGGGCTGCCATGCAGTCAGCTGACCTCGCCCACCGGGCTCGGAGCGCCTCGCGAGTCGACTGATTGCTCCGCGTGGGGTGTGGATGGATGGCTCGCCTCTCGGTCCTGCAGTGCTGCCATCTCTTGGCAGCTTCAAATGCTTGAGTTCCCTCCTTTTTAAGTTCTCTTTAACGGAAAAACGAAACGAGGCGGCTCGTGCCATCGCTCCCTCTGCTTCAACTCTTGAGAGAATTATTCTCAAATGTTATCATCCTTCAAACTTAAAATATTTACTGAACTAAAAAATGTCGTAAACTGTGCGCATAATTGAATTTATCATTTTCCCATCCAGATTTCTCATCCTTGTGGAATTCATTCGAACCGAACGGCAGATGTTAACACATTTTCCTGTTTATTCCATTCGTTCTCCTCATCCATTATTCCGTCTGCCTGTCATCTTTGATGTTGGCCTGTTTTTGTTCCTCCGAGGGCCGCGATAAGTAGCGTTCACTGGAACGAAAAATCACATGCATTGGTGTTTGGCCTTCCCTCCATCCTCTGCAACCGAAAAACAAAAACAGTCTGATAAAAAATTGGTACTCGGAGGTACGGTTTAAAAGTTTTAGCCGTAAATTAGTGTCTAATGCTTCATTTAGAACGCAGTCAGTTCTGGAACTGCTCAAACTGCTCAACTTTTGGCAGTTTCTTCATTCGATTCATGTAAGCGTGTGCACTGCAGTCTTCGACGTGCAAAAACCAGTCTTGCAAAATGGGAAGTAGAATCCTTGTCGCACATGTCGAAACTTCGAAAGTTTCATGCATTCAGACATTTCCCTCTCCGGCTTGTCTGCTTCACCGACGGTACCACGAGTACCATGAGTACCACAAGTACCACTTCGAGCAGGAGCTGTGCTTGCCCGCAAGGCAATTCAGTATGGAAATATTAACGTTCACGTTTTCCTTCAATGTTCACCTTTATTTTAAATATTTTCATCTGATATCGTCCGATGTCCATGATTTTTCGCCTGCGGCATTCCAGATGAACGAGGAAAACTTCTGTCGATAAAAAACCTCATTCCTGCTTCAAAAGTAATCGCTTTTCAGAGATATGTAAATACTTTAAATATGTAAGTGCTTTACATTTTTCAAATGGAAGGGTGAGGATTTATTGGTAAAAATGTCTCGTACAAATGCCGAGCGAACCTCTTTAAATGGAGCTCAGGTCTGCAGAAAAGCTTTTAAAAAAATTAATTATTTATAATGCTACACGAATCGTAAAAAAAGCAATTTCTTCGAGTCGTCTGTCGTTATAGAAGGCCAATTCAACGTCATTGGCGAGGAACAGCCGTGTGCAGATTGCTTCTTCATTGGATTTTCGGTGAGTTTTATTTTTTAAGGCAGGACTTGCAGCGGACACAAGCCACAACGGACCTATTCCATTTCGGTGCTCTATCTTGGAAAAATTATTGCGCTAGCGCAGGGTGAACTTTTCTAAGCGTGGCAGAAATATTTATTATTCATCTGATATGCCACGTGTAGAAAAACATGAGGCTTGTAGATATCGGATGAAGGTAAACAAAGTGAAGCCTCGATGCGACTGTCGGTCGCCGACGATTTCGGCGCTGCAGCGCGGTTGGCGCCCATCGAATGAACCGCAGCAAGCTCGCGGCTGCGAAGCAAACAGATTTGAAGGAGAAATTGATTAATGACGACCATTGAATAAACGAATGTAAGGCTTATATCGCCTGATTCCCCTCCTCTACTCCACTCTTGTCTTATGCTCTATCCTTTTCATGACTACGAGCCGCAACGGTGGCAACATATGCGTGGCTGTGTTGGCACTGGATGAGAGCTGCCGCACGCATGCTACTTGCCGATAAATCGAGGAGGATCTATGTAGGAAAAACCATGTTTGCACAAATGATGGTGTTGGCGGATGGTGGATTGGGAGAGTGACGCGATCCTCCCCTCCCTCCTTCCATCCTTCCTCCCCCTCCCCCCACCCCCCACTCCCTCCTTCACCCTCCCCCCTCTCTCCTTCCCCCCCCTCCCCTCTCTCCTTCCCCCTTCCCCCCTCTCCTTCCCCCTCTCCCCTCTCTCCTTCCCCCTTCCCACCCCTCGGCACCATGACCTATTAAACAGCAGAAGTTTTTATATTTAGTCCTCGGGTCAGCTGCTCACAGGCTGACTTTAAGAGACCCCAATCAACACCTTGGACACCCCTGACTCAGAGGTGAGCAGTACATGCAGTGCAGGTCCTGGCGGTACTCACAAGTGCTGCATGCTTTCTTCGTTGGTATCTCGTTGAGTCAGAAGCGACCTTCAGTAGAGATCTTAGGTTTCACAGCAGACGACTCTCAATAGATCAACTTATGCACTTCACAGTACTTCCCAATACTTCACAGTGCTTCGATATGGCGACAGATGCCACCTTCACTGAGAACGCCTTCATTCGGAGGTCCCCACGACAAGCCATCACCGAAAGTATGACAAATCCTTTCACTCGCCGTTTCATCGAAGAAAGAAATCGGTAAATAATCAGTTGACACGACAAGAAAGAGGAGGGGAATCCGTAATGGGATTCCGTCTGGCTTGAATCCCCCAGCTGCAATTCCATTCCCCCCTAAGCTTGCCAATTTCAGGAATTCTCCCATCCCCCCGGATTTCGGCTGCCGGGACAGGCTAATCATTACGGCGATTGGACCCATTTCTCCGGGATTAAATGACTTATTGGCCGGTCTGACAAACGATACGTTCGATACCTTCATTTCCCCCGTGCAGTCGCCTTTTTGCGACAGTTCCTGTCGCCCCGGATGCGAGTCGGAAGTCGGTGCGAGCGAGTTGTAAGAGTAAAAATCCCCTTCTCTCTAGATATGGTCCTTATCTGGTTTCCCTCGAGGAAAAACCTTGCTCGATATCATCTCTCTACATATGGAGGGGGAATGACTGCGTTGCCATAAGACGTCGGTTCTTCCTCATTCCCTCTTATTTTCTAAATTCCCTTTTTTTTTCCCTTCCTTTTTTTTTTTTTTTTGCTACCATCCGATAATTTTAATTGAAGGGAAAATTTAATTTTCTGGCAGAAAAATTTTCACATAATAGCATATTCAGAACCGCCAAGGTCTTCGTTCTGGGACTAGTCAGTTCATAATGAGCGAAGCGACGCCCAGCATGTCAAACCACTGTCCTCGCGACCTCCTAATCCATCCGAGACCCCTCAACGACCGCGCATGCGCAGGAGGGAGCAAGGGAAGGGAGTATAGAGACCCTCCACCTCGCCTCCGTTCCATTGTTGGTCACAATGGCCGAGAGTGCAGGTGGGGATGGGTGAGCTGGGGACATGGCCCTGCAGGCGTTTCTCTTCCTCTTTCTCCTCCCCTTGGCCCACGGTGTGTGAATGGGTGCTTTTCGCACCTCCCTGGGTGGCATTAATCGACACGTGTTTGTTGTGGTGCTTCGCAGGGCAACACCAGGAGCAGACGTCGTCCGAGCCGTTTTTCCTGTGGCCGGTTGGGAATCATACGGTCATCGTCGGCCGGGATGTCGGCCTGGACTGCGTCGTCGGCAATCTCGGGCCTTATAAAGTGAGAGTTATTTCATCGTTATCGTTTTTCTTTTCAGCCAGAATCGCCTTGCGTAATTCCCTGAACGTCGCGAGACGTGCATCTAAGGGCATTCTTCACGAATATGCTTCCGATTTTCATTTGTAAAATCCAGAATATGCAAGAACGAACTTATTTCGCTTTTCTTTGTGGCATGGATCACTTAAACGAACGAGGCAAAGAAGTGAAAGAAATGATCAACAGGTCAGACAAGACTATTGAAGCCAAGAGCTCCATGACAGAGCATGAAGCATTGAGAGTGATCGAACTCCCCCCCCACTCTTCCGTCGCATTATTGGGAAAGTGGGGGGTCTGATAAACGTGTCACGGAAAAGGAGCAGCGAATAGCCGAGTCGAAAAGCGACATGCTCATAGAAATAGGGCCAACCCTGGATGATTGAGATAAGAATATTGCCGTCCTTTGAGGAAACAAGAAGTGCGGGCGACAGGTCGTCGGGGCTAATATGGAGACATACGAGATAATAGTTTAGTTAGTAACGCAATGGTTTCTATTTTGCTGAAGGATACGAAAAATTTTTTGAAAGGTGGAAGCACGTCTCAGCTTCAGGGCTTGGCGACCTCGTGCCTCTGGCTGCTGCAATGTCGGCATAAAAACAATTTCTCCAGCGAGGCTCGCTCGCTCGCCCAGACGGACGGTCGAGAACCGACCATCCGTCGGCTAAAGACTCGGAACGACACGCTGTTGTCGACGCGAAATGCAACGGGAACTCTAAACGCGAAATGCATTGGGGAACTCCGGCAGGTGGCGTGGATGTACCTGGAACGGCAGATGATCCTGTCCATGCACCGGCACATGATCACACGGATCTCCCGCTTCAGCGTGAGCCACGACAACTACCGGACGTGGCGGCTGCACATCTCCGACGTGCGAAGGGAGGACGAGGGCACGTACATGTGCCAGGTGAACACGGAGCCCATGATCTCGCAGCTCGGCTACATCAACGTCGTCGGTAGGCCCCTTTCCTCTCCATATCGAATAGTTCTTGGATTTGCATGCGCAAAATCGAGGTTTGCAGAATCGTTCGGCAACGTGCCACTCGCATGAAGAAGTCGTCATGAAACAAGCGCGACGATCGTGTCACGGCGACCCATACCAAAATAAATCGTCACAGAAACGCACATCGTCTGCTCGCTGTCTCAATACGACACAGCTACGTTAAGTCAAGCAGCTAAGCGTGTGAGGGAGTACTTGAGATAACCATCCCAAGCCGATACTGAGAAACTCGTCATCGAGTAACGCAAACAGTCCGTGTCTGATATCCATCTGTATACAATAATTGATTCCTGAGAACAAATCATCGTCTGTCAGGGAACGTTCCTGAGAGGCTCGCATTCTGCGCGTGTCGATCCTGACGACACGGAAGTTCATTTATCCGAACGAGATAAAAAAAAAGAGGACCTCTGGATTCATTCACGAAAGGTTTATTTCGAAGTGCCACTTAGCAAGACAACAACCTCAAGATAGTTTCAAATGCATCATTTTTTGTTTTTCGCTTTGACGCGATACCTGAGCCCGTCTGGTTGCGCAGTATATTTGAAGCGACCCCATGCGAGTCATACGTAATATTTAGACGGGACCAAACTTTTTTTTTCGTTATTGTAATTATTATTATTACACCTTTCCAAAAAAAAAAACATTGGTGGATTTGTAGCGGACGGGACGAGCCCTTCCATCTTTCCTCGATCGCCCTATCGAAACACCTGCATGAGTCTTAATGTATCATGTCCTAAATGAAGAGGAACTAAGAGACCCTCCTAAGACTAAGACTAAGAAACCTTGAGGAAATCGTCGTGATCGGTGCGAGGAATATCGAGCAATGGACGAGGAAAAAAAAGAAAAATATTCACTCCAGCGAGGGGAGAGAGCTTTTTGTTCCTCTTTCGAATGTAAATACATGTAAATACATACGATCAGAAATGATTCCGATGTGATTCACACATCTTGAAGTCGAAACCCGTCCCATCCTCGACTGAGCTCAAAAACCTAACAGCGAGTCCATGTAACCGCAATGTTGGCCTCAGAATGCGATAATATGTATTTTGTTCGTGAGTACTGCATACCACCAGAATAGGGTTGCCACCTTTGAAATTAGCAAAATATGGACATATGGTCCGTGGACATATGCAAATATGGACAAATACTGTATATGAATTATACTTGCGTTTGTGGCTCTGCTGCTAATACCTACAACCACTTTTAGCCAAAGTAACAATTGATGCTTTAAGAGTGTGGCATGCCACTCTGGCTCGAAGAAAAGAGTGGTCTTAGCTGCTATTAAGTTTTATTAACTAAAAAATCTTAACAAGTTTAAAGTATGGATGAAGCAGTGTCCATATTAAGACAAGTTTGTGATATGGACATTGCATCTGAAATACGGATACAGAACAGTACTAGAACAATGCAGTCCCTTTTGAAGAAACTCATTCGTTATTCATTCCGGACACTGATTTCAACGCATTGAACAGTAGCCGTGGTTAGTGAGACATTCAGTCACAACAGCACCCCTGATTGCAACATGTGATAATTACGGCGTCTTTGAGCGCACGTCCCCCTAACACCCCCGTGCAATTTCAGCTTCCTATTTCATATAGTTTCTGAGATATTGCGCACTATAGTGCGGAATTTTCTTTATAATCACCATATACCATATATATAGTGCAAAAATGGCGCAAAAGAGCGCCACACCACTAAACTACCCAACATTGCTCTAAGTAGTGAAGCAGAGCGCGAGAAGCTCGACCACAGCTGAGAAACACAACTAAATGTAGGAGAAAAGTAATGAGATCCCAAAAGTACAAAAGTACAGCCCTATGGTTGTGTGCCTAATGGATAAGCCTAACTCTTCAATAACATTACAGAGAACCTAGCCTAGGCCTTCTGTATACATCATCATGTATATATCATCATTGGATTAGTCCAGGTTTTCTCTCCCGGTTTTCGATAGCCGATTGTAAGCTAAGCCTTTGATAGGCCTATTTGGCCTATTTGCAAAGGGCCCAGGCAAAATTATGTCCATTAAACCTAGAGTTACTCAAGGTATCTCTAGGTCCACAGATCGTTCCCCCGCTCTTGCAGACCTAATTTTAACGATTTGGTATCCCTTTCAATCAATATCTATGCCTATACCCACTTTTCTTAACTGTTTTGATTGAGTGAGTTTCCTTTCGTTTCTATTTAAATTCTAATTAATATGCCTAAGGTATCATCAATACCAAAGAATTAAGTGTATTCACAATTGAGCAGAAAGTAAAGACAAAAAGGAAAGGGAAAGTTGCCTTTGTGGGCAAAATCTGAGCTCTAGTTCACAAGCCTGGATGCAGGTTTACAGTTTATTCACCAGTGTCAAGGTCACAGGAGAGAGCTGAATCCAAGAGTTGTAGAAGGAAATCTATTAATAGCTGTTCAAAGAGAAAGAAAGGGGTTAGGATGAATTAAGAAAAATTCAACAGCCAAGCATTCCAAAGGTGTATTGCATGATAACTTGGGTTATGTAGATGTTGAGATTCCTAATACCAAAAGTGATGACGATGATTTTAGGCCCCATTGTTGGGTGAATACATTTTATTGATGCAATGAAAGATGTCACTTGTGCCATCTTGTAAATTACTCATCATAGCAATTAAGTTCTTTGATGAATTATAGCCCTTTTCAGCACTTTTTCATTTCAGAATTCAAAGTTTACATTGCATGCATCAATAGCCCAAAAAATAGGTAGCATAAGTGCATTTTTCAGATGTGTCCATTTTGTAGGCAACATGGTTTTCAGATGATGCAGGGGTATAAAGATCTGTGATTCAGGGAGAAATATGTCTTTTTTGACTATCAGTTCAACTTCTCTCTCAGGAAAAGTACAGCGTAGAAAGTTTGTATGATGGACTTGAAGCAGTTCTATTTTGTTTATATGGAAACAGTTTAGTTATTGAGACTGAATGCATGTGAAGATGTCTAGCTTGGGCTTCATTGTAGTTCTAAGTGTCCTCCTACTTGTGAAGTTTTGAAGAAACAGTGACTTGCATGGAGGGTGCAGCGTGATGGAGCAGCTCTTTGCACCAGATACTTGGAATCATTAAGAGGGGATGTGAAAAAGTTTCAGATACACCTTGTGGATCATGAAAGGTCTACAAGCATGAGCTTCTATGGAAGCTGTAGGGACTATTGGATTAGCAGTGAGGTACTATGGACCATTCAGTCCTGATACAGTGAATGCAGGAGTTCTGTTCTAGTAGGGGTGTATTAGAAGGACGAATATAGGTTTTGTCAATATGTGATGGGCTATACTAAGGTCGCATTGTCTCTCCTTTCCTGTTCCTTGCATACATAAGCAAGATCTGTATGTGTAGCCAGGGCTGCAAGGGAGTCATCATCAGTATTGCATCACCAATGAAGTTACTTCTCTTAGCTGGAGATGCTGTGTTATTGACCCAGTTTAGTCATAAATGAAGAGAAATCAATTCAATTCAGAATGATGAATCAATTCAACTCATTGTCCTCCATAGTGCACCTTAAATGTCAAGTGAAGGGGCCCCATGAAACAGTTGGAGTGGAGTATCTTGATCTCTGCTTTTCCAGGAATGGATTATATGAAAAAGATATAGACAATTGTATCTCCAGGGCTTCCACAGTTTTGCAGAAACTCTGGTGGACATTGATTCTCAAATGGGATATCTCTAAAAAGGCACAAGTCTTTTTTTTTTTACATGCTTTTTTTTTCAACCCTTACCTATGGCCATAAACTTAGGGGGAGTGATCAATAGAATCGGATCACAGGCAGAAGCTGCCAAAGTGTGGTTCTTATATTGACTAGCTGGCGTAGGACTTGCGTAAGACTTTGTCATATGATACCAATTGCCACCATATGTGAGGGTCTTCAGGATTAGCAACTACTTCTCCAGATAAAAAAATGTCTCGTTCATCATGACAGGTGAAGGACCAGTCGGCAGACGTTGTGCAAGGCAGAAAGGCTGTGTTGTACAGCTTTGTTACAAGATGCTCAACGTCCCACTGGCTTAACTTGAGTCCATTACCCACGGTTGGGAACATTCCAAGGTTAGATGAACAGTCATGAAAACGAACGACCCAGACTCACATATATTGGATATAACTCTTGTAAGGATTAGGCTTGAAGCCGCAATTGTTGGGCTTCGAAGAGTAATATATTTTTACTCTTCCAAAGTGAATGGTTTTCCTAGTACATAGATGTTATAGTCATTTCAGTAGTCAGTACATAAGACCTCCATATGGAACACCTTACGGTAAGGCAAATCCAGCAATACATTATCATTTCTGCCTCAGAAAAGTCACCCTGCCAGGATGATGAAAAAGTAATGTTACCATCACTCAATGTCTGTCAAGTAGTTTATCCTTCATTCTTTGGATATCAAATTATACTTAACTTTAATTGGTACTAGATCATTTCTGGATATCCATTTTAAAAAAAAATCACCGCGAACTTCATTAATGCATGCACATCCAATTTCAAAGCAAGTTCAGAAGTTTTCAATGCAGGTTTTGCTAATGGATTTCTTTAAGTAACTAGATTTCAGAATGCCAAAAGAATTTCACATCTTCATATGCTATGTATGCATTTAGGAACTTAAAAAAGTCAATTTTATATATTTAAACATATTACCAATACCTTTCTGCCCCGTGTCCAGATTTCCCACTTTTTGTGATAATTTATGTGCATATAATGGAAAATATGCAGCAGCAATGTCGTTTCCACATACTTAAAGTTCTCTGGTAAAACCTGTCAATGTATAGAGTACACAAATAAAAATTATATTTTTCCGTTCTAAAAATACAGGAGAAAATATAGGTACTTTCACATTAGAAACACAGGTTAATTTGACTAAAAATTTGCGTTTTCGTACCACGAGTAACCTAGTCGTAACGAAATGGTGAAAATAACGGAAATTAAAGTTAACTTGCTTGTAAAAAACAGGTAAGGAATGGCCTCTCCCTTAAAAATAATTTAACATCTGTGCTTATGAGGTGGGTATCAGCTAAACCAAGACGATATTCTAGAAACGAATACCTCCTAAGACCAAATGCATCGACCCCCGATAAAGATTCCCAGGAGGATGAACGCGGATACGCGAAGATCCCTTCTCTTAAGAAAAACCATCACTTATATCATTCCGCTGAAGCGACAATCAAGGAACGAGATACTCCTGAAACCAAGTGCAATTGCATTCGATATCGAATGGCAAAAAGATGAACACGGACTGGCGATTATCCGTTGCTTTCCAACAGACATCAAGAGATGGTTATCAGCCGCGGCGGGTCGAATTTCTAGGAAAGATAACTTCCAGAAACCATGGGAATCTTCCACCTAACTCGATTCGCAGAAATATGAATGCAGATTCGGCAAGATCCCTCGTCTTTCGAATGAGAATCACTTGTTGCGCAGAATCATTTGCGATAAAAGGGCTTTCTAATAATGGCATATTCATTAAACAAAATGAACCTCCCTGCAAAATCGATTTCCAGGAGGATGAAAGCGAATTCGCGAATATCCGTCATCGTTCAAAAACCATCATCATTGAGGCGGGTATCAGCTGGGGTCGGACGACATTCTAGGAACGACATCCTCCTGAAACCCAGTGCTTCTATCTCCGATGTCGATTCGCAGGGGGAGGAAGGCGGAATCGCGAAGATCCTTCGTCTTTCGAGATACCATCACTAGTTTGGCGGATAACAGCTGATGTCGGACGACATTCAAGGAACGACTTCATCCTGAAACCAAGTGCATCTGCCTCCAATGTCGAATCGCAAAAGGACGATCGCGGAATCGCAAAGATCAGACTTCTTTCGAGAAACCATTACCATTGACGCTGGTATCAGGTGGGGTCGGACGACTTTCTAGGTACGACATCCTTCTCAAACTCAGCGCTTGTATCTCCGATGTCGATTCGCAGGAGCATGAAGGCGTATTCACGAAGATCCTTCGTCTTTCGAGAAACCATCACCACCTTGGCAGGTATCAGCCGGGGTCGGACGACTTTCAAGGAACAACATCCTCCTGAAACCAACTTCATTTGCCTCCAATGTCGATTCGCAGGAGTATGAACGCGGATTCGCGAAG